ATACATATCAAATAGAGGAGAAATGGTTCACTATTACATAAGGAGACAAAAGATGACGAACTTGTCACAATGTCTAGGAGGCAGAAATAAAAGCACACACACATTGGCAGATATATAAAACGACATTCTTTATTTACAAATAGATATTTTGCAGTGATTCCAAAGTTCCTGTAAAAGATTGTCATACTAAAACATGGTTCTGAAGTCTCTAACTTGAACTGTGCAACAAGTGGAACACAGCGAGCATAAAATACATGCACATACCTGTACACTCTGTTCCTGTCACCAAAATAGATCTGATTACAAAATATAGTGCTCAATATAAACATCTGTGGAGTTGTGTTTCACCAGCTGTCTCATATTTAACAAGTTCTGAAAATGTACATTTGAAATTCATCTTCCTCTGGGTGTTTTATATGAAAATAACGGCGCTGCTTAAGCTTTGCAAAAATAGAATCTGCAGTCTCTGTCAATGCTGCTCTATGCATATTGTTACACATGAGCAGGTTCTGCATCTTCAGCAGCAAATACTCATGTGGGATTGTTGGCTGAGGAAGTGTTTTTCTTTATACAGCAGTAAAAGTAAAACGAGTTCAGTCTGATCGTCTTTCAAATGTCCCGACATGTCAGGTCAGTGGCTAGGAACAAAGGAACAAGTACTCTGAGTGATTCAGTGACGGACTGCAAAGAAATAACATGTGGAGTGTGTAGTTTGACTGTAGAGCCTGTGCTGGAACAACACATGATCACACATTACTGTTAACTTTCTTTACGAGACAGTAAAAGGAATAGCCGAAATGTTTAAAGAAACTGCTGTCAGCACTACCAGCAGCTAGTATGACGTCTGTAGATTTGATATTAGCATATGTGATAGCATATCCAAGCAGTTTGGGAGGATCATTTCTCAACCTTTCTCTCAGATGTCCAGTGAGGTCACTTTACTTGATGTAGTTATGTGTAACTATGTGCAGAATTCGAAAATGCCATGACTCTTGCTGGCTCGCGACATACACAAATTAGCATAAATAAAATCTTCAGAGGAATTGGCCTGTTTTTTTACATTTCCACAGTGGCTTTAAAAAGGTTGAAAAGACAGATAGGATCATTTCTATACTACAAATTTAAAATGCCTTGCCTAAATGTGTTTGTTTGTTCTGTGTAAGACAACATGCCTAAAAACTGAAAGCACAGCATTTAACTGTCTTGACTTAAGAGCAGCAAGCAGAGAAGAAGAGAACATGGGAGACACAATGAAGACAAACTGCTCTCAAACTGTTAAATAGGATATTAACATCAGTCACAGTCTAACCACGGGGTTTAAACAGTGCTCCTCTGTATCAATCTTCTCTACTGGGGCATAATTGTGTAGAAGCTAAAAGAAAAATAAGTTAGAGTGAATTGGTTTTCCAGTGACGGATGACTGATGTCAGACGGGCTGATAAACAGAATAGAGACGGCCTCGGTTCAGTCCACAGCAGCTCTGCCTCTTTCAAGATACTCTGGTGCCCTCTGCTAGCCACTTGAGGGAGGTACAGCACTACTCTCGTTGCCGTATCTGCCAAAGGTTTGTAAACTTGACAAGAATCATTTCACTGACCAAAACAATCTATATACAGATATGGCCCAATTTCATCCAGAGAATAGGAAATTAATCCAAACATTCCCCTTACATCGGATTTATTGCTCAAGAGCCAAGCAGCCCACTTTTTCTTCTTCACAGTACGAGTATAGCTTATAGAGTGTTTCTGCCATTTCAAGTTCTTTCTGTCACTCCCAGAGGCACCTTAGATCTCGCCAGCTATGAATAATTTTAGCTAGTGAAGATAAAGAAATTGTTATATTAATTGTAATATACTGTCCAGTTGTTTTCACAGCAAGGACACCAGACGGTTGTGTCAATCACTGCTTATCAGGAGATAAGGTGACATTTTGCAAGGAAAAACAAAAAAAGTCAGCGACACACCCTGATGTCACTCTAGAAACCTGCAAGACATTGGGTGCAATCTGCTAGAACTGAGCCCTCACTAAAGGAACACGCTTTCCTTTTTTTAAACGTTTGACTCTTAGTTTTGGCCACCATCTCAACTTAATTACATTTAATGACTAAGAAGTCAACCTTAAAGTCGACCAGATTTTCTAAACTACTTAACCGGAAGTGAAAAAATAAATGAATCTCAGCATGACTCAATAAACCCGTCTTTCTGATGGTACTTCATAGTTCAACTTTGACACATGACTACTGCAAATTTTATCACTGCTGTGCAGGTGAGAGTGAAATAATTTTTCAACAGCGATTTATCTAGTCTCTACAGTTTGTAGCAAAGCTGCATTCAAGCCTCCTGCTTCTCTTGAGTGTTGAGGTATTCTGCTCCATTCAGTTGGCAGCAATACATAACTGAAGCTAAACAGAATGGTAGCACTAAGCAGGAAGAGATCTGATCAGTCTTTAGGCACACTGTCTAAGAGACAGCCTCAGATAGAAAAGAACCGCATTTAAACAGGTTTAACAAGATCCTATGGCAAGAAGCTGAGAATGGAATGAAAAGCAATTAGCAACTGAGGTTTAACAATATAAACAATCTCCATCTTTAAGACTAAAAAATGCAAGGACACAAACCAAAGCCAGAGTGAATGCTATGTCTGCTGATACCGAGACTGATGATGCTTGGGACCATTCTGTGTCACAGGTATATAACAGCACAATTAGGCCATGCATACCTAGTTTGCCATATGCATACTTAAACAGAGTATGTTTCCAGCATTAAGAACAGTACCAGCCACCTAAGTTACCCAATCACCCACCTGCCGAGGTTTAACCTTTGATACATTTCTATACTTAAGCCATCCGTAACATCATCGTAGTAATGTTCCTCATCTGTATCATTGCTGCCTTCATCAATCGCTTATAGTGAGGGCATTCAATCATTCAGACATAAGTCACATTTCTGTTAACCTTCCTAACAGCTTCATTCAGACATACTTCCCATAATGCTGGGGAGAGCAACAGTATGGATCACATGGATCCTGATGCTGCAGTTGCTTAATAAACTCAGCCGGAAGCAACAAACTACACTGTGTTTTTGTGTGTGACAGTTCATCTGTCTCATGTGAAGAAACGTACGATCGCTTGTGCATGCCTTTCCATTACTGTGACTGGGTGCAGCTCAGAGTTGTGCCGTGTTGAAAGTGTTGCGGAAGTGTTGGTAGGTAGTTGCTAGATTTTTGCCGGGACTTTTACAGAAAAGTGACCAGGGTGTGCCACCGCTCATGAAGCCGACATGTTCAGTTGCCGTTATAACAGATAAGAGTGCATGTCTGAAAGGGGCTTGACACTGGCATATTCAAGCACAATAACTCTCTGCAATATTTTTTTTTTAAAATGAGTTCTGGTGTCTGAATGCAGATAAAGATAGCTGGTAAAAACAAGCCCATAACATTTAAAACAACTAAGTATTGTAGATCACATTCCGGGGACTATTTTGTCTTATGGTGTATTTTTCCTAAGTCAACATCACAATAAGGCCTCACATGAACGCTCCTTTCCTCCAGTGTAGCTACAGTAGGGCTATTTGCCATTCAACAGTCTTATAGAGAGTAATTCCACACAGAAGAGTCAAAGATAGCAACAACTCCATGAGCCTCTATAGAGCAGAACACAGTGCAGCCGTTAGCCATGCTAAGTTTTTCTTTCTTCACTGGAAACACTGTATTTTTCAGCAACCCAGTGCTGAAAACAAGGCTTTCCATGCCTTCCTCAGGAGACACTAATAGCATTAAAGGATAATTCTGGTTTATCAAAACTGGGTACAAACTAAAACAAAGTAAAACTGGGAACCAAATGCAGGATTTATCATCTTCTTTTAGATCCAACTGGCATAGCTAAATTTAAAGCCCAAAACAACGGGTTTCTGATTGTTGGCTTGTCGTGCTTGTGCAAAAAAATTATATTTGATAATAACCAAACCTGACTCTAATTCCCTACAGCTGTACACAACAAAATGGTCTCAACCTAACCTGATATGTTTTCCAGAGCTGTCAGGAAACAGATGTCCACAGTTCTGGATTTTAAACCTTTACCAGGGAAGGTATGTTTTTATTACTATTTGTTGGTTTGCTTGTGTGTCTGTGACCTGGACTACACCAAGACTACCAAGCTAATTTTCATTAAACATTTTTTTTTTCTTTGTGGATTTGGTTTGAGTTGCAAAATCACATATAGAAGACTAGACAATTGGCCTTGGGGAAGGTCTGTGTAATTAAGTTAGCAAAAACATACATGCAGTTAGGCAAACTGTAAACATGTCAACTGTTTCGTAAGACTATCGAGTGATAACTCAAAGTGAGCACTGAAATGTCTATAATATTTAGAGTTGATACTAGATTTTTAGGCCAATACTGATATCCTTCCTTAGTTATAAAACAGTAGCCAGAAAGATTGACTGAGACAGATACTTTTCTGAACAACAGAATAGCATTCTATCCTGTTGCTTCAAACTAAGATGATGTATTTTAAGACATCACCAGTGTTTCTGTGCTGTATTCTAACAGCTTACATAAAAAGCAATGAGTGCAGGCCACTCTTGAATGGCCTCAAATGTTTTTGGTATATCTGTTCTCTCATGTTCATACAGTACGTCTGTGAGAGGCTAAAATTGTAGATCCAGTTGTTCAGCTCAGTTAAACAACAAACCAAATCTGAAACAAGTCAACAAAATGAGCCAGACAAGTATGACCACTCACAAATGAAGCAAATAAGATTATCTCAACAAGAGCACACGGCAAGGTCTCGGATACATTAGATGCTTAAGGAACAGTCAGGTCACACAGTCGACATTTTGGAGTCGGAAGAAACAGGTGTAAAAAGGACAAAATTGTTATGGCTGGACAACATTATTCAGCCTGTGAGGTGCTCCCAGTTAGCAGTGGTGTGTACCTACTATCAGAGGTCTAAGGAGGGGCAAACTTGGTTGGTTTGTGCAATAATTCAAATTGAAAGAAGTTTATTAAAGCAGAAGCACGTTATCAGCTCGTGTCATAAATGTGGCCTGCCCCTGTTCTACAAATGCAGCTCTGCATAGTTTTCTTCTTTGCCAGTGTCACAAAAATATCTTTTGGTTTGTGTGTTTGTGGGTTTTCCTTACTTAAAACTTATTCAAAATTGATCTACTGATTATTTGGTTCACAGTCAGTGGATTAGCAGCAGTCACACTGTGAGAACTTGGTCCTACATTTCTGACACTGTCTGAATGTTGTCTTAGAATGTTTATGGCTGACTAAACCATGTGTGTCTCGCAGTGCAACAGTTTTGGATAAAAGTTTCCTTTTTTTTTTTTTTTTAAACCAAATGTTTTGGGGTTTTGGACTTTTTATTAGATGAAGAAACCAGTTTCATGACATGGGTTCCTGAAAACGCAATCTAATATTTGATTGACTTTCTGATAAAATTAAAAGGTCCAGAGGTAAATGTTTACAATAACAGATAATTTTATTGCGCACCTTTGTTTTATCTGGTATTTTGTTTAAAACCTATTGTACTATACTTTTAACAGTGTTTTTTTATGTTACTTGTTTCCAGGTAATTTCTAGGAGATTTTATTATTTGTTATAGAAATGACCACCAAATCCTTGAAAATAAGATATAAGATATTATAAACCAGAATCATCCTTTAAAAAGATTAAGCAGGCCAAGTGGAAAATGAGTACACCAAAAAGGTACATTAATGCTTCATCACAAATGGATGAGATCTACCAGCATTAAGAGGATCTGAGGAGGACTTGTTCTTCAGTGTTGTGTCAACACTACCAGCATCACATATTAGGGTGAGAGAGTAGGACAAACAAGCTGTCCTTGAAATCGGACGGTCTTGGGTTCACTCTCAGTAACACGAACCCTCACTTACACATATGGTCAAGCACCAGCTATAAAGTGATTTATGTCTTATAAATGTAGACATATAAAGGGTCCATAGGCCATAGAAAATGGGTACAGAGCTCCTCATCTGTCCATGGCACTGTAGCCCACATGGCTGTCAGTGCTGTCAGCCCAAACTAGACTGAACCTGAACTCTAACTTTCAATTTAAAAAAAAAAAAAAAGGAGGGGGGGATACACTCAACTGCTTCATCAACACAGGGTGACATCACAATAGCAGAGGAGTGTGTGAGAGCGGAGTAGGGATCAAGAGAGGCAGAGGGCGCTAGGGAAGGAGGCAAGGGTGCAGACTGGGGTGGGAAGGCCATAGTAGGAGGGGTCGGTGAAGGGGAAGAGGAAGAGGAGGAAAAGGACGACCCCTAGCAGGTAGGAGGAGAGGACAGTAAGACGGTGAGGGTGCTCCAAGGCCGTGCTGATGGCGGGGAAACCCATGTAGTTACAGAAAGAGTGGCAGAGGACCGGACCCATCAAGTGACCTGCAACACAGGAACATGACACGAGTAAGAATTAATAGTGGATGTTCGGTTCAGTATGTCATTTTCTTGCTTTTGTATAACCAGTGAAGCAAATAATGAATGCAGACCAATTATGCCTACATCTTAGCATGTTCATGTGGAGAGGACATGTGAGAAACTAGAGCAGAAAAAGTCCCTGGAGTATTTAGATCTACTGTTTGGGAGAGTTGTGGTTTTCAAAGTAAGTTGCAGATGCAGAAATTAGCTTTCACTTCATATCTTTCACTTCAGCAGTTATGGGAAAAGGTAAAATACACTTGAGTGACAAAGGGTGATACAATAACTCACTGAAAGCCTGTTTAAACCCGACTCTCAGATTTGTCAATTTTTTATTTAGAAATAAAAAAGCTGCAGTAACCCAAAAATTACTCATTGCCCTTTACAAACCAGAAAAACACTGCAGACATCCCAGAATGAGTGTCATCATTTTTACAATGTCAAATATGACCAATGAGCTGACATTTAATGTTAGAATTTTTTAAACAAAAAAAAAATATATTTTTTTTAGAAAAGGTTCATATCCTTGCCCCAGTCACCAAAAGCTTTGTGCTGAGTTACCACTTGTTTCTCCCAACTTTGAGAATCAGTTTTATTGAAATTTAAATATTTCAGGTTACACCCATTAAAACATCTGTTAACACAACGTACATAACTTTCTACTTATATAAAAACCTGTATCATAAAATCTAGTGTTGATAGAAGAAGTTCTACAATTTAAACATAAGTGAAAAATGACTGATGTGCGTGGAAACAATCACATTTAAAGTTCAGTTTTAGTGTCCAAAGGCCTAGAGCAGGGGTCGGCAACCTTAAACACTCAAAGAGCCATTTGGACCCGTTTCCCATGATAAAGAAATCACCGGGAGCCAGGAAACCCTTTTGACATCTAAAATGAAGATAACACTGCATATATCATTTTTACTATTGTGCTATGTATTTTTTTTTTAAAAAAACTAAAGTGTGTTAGATTTATGAGATCAATGAACTGCTACAGAGAAAAAATATATATATTTCTGCGACACATACATTTTGAATTCCAAAAAAAAGATACTCGGTTGAAGGTTACTTTGAAATAAAATACTCGATGTCTATTTGTATCCTCTTCGTATATGAAATGAAAAGCCAAACTTAAACTATCCACCTGCAGCAAAGTAAAAATGACGTCTGGTTGTCCTGCTGACTGCAGCTGGGACTGCTGACCAGACTCCTGACCGCCTGTGAGCGCTTTGGGACGGGGAGGAGCTCACGACAGCACCCGCTGCTCGCTAACGATAGTAACTGCAGAACAATACGTGTTGTCAATTCAGAGTCCCTAAAACACCAGAAAAGTCGCTTTTGGGGGGGAAAAAAAGTCACCAAGAGGATTTGGAAAGTTGCCAGATTTAGCGAGAAAATCACCAAGTTGGCAACAATGCGAGTGCCGCCGGGTGTCGCACATCAGCGGTTGTGACGCATATTTTGAGAGACACAAAAACACGTTTTGTTTTAATGTTATAAGTTCACAAAAATCTTAAAATTTAGAATTACATTTTTAAAACTAATGAACTAAAATAAAATACATTTAAATTAAAATACTCATGATTTATTTTCCAAAGCCATAAGGAGCTGCAGCAGAGATATGAAAGAGCCACATGTGGCTCCGGAGCCACGGGTTGCCGACCCCTGGTCTAGAGGGTTTAAACAAAGACAATGTAGAATGCTGTCTCTCAGTGTGAGGTATATCTGAAAGCTTCTCACCTGTTCTGATGAAGATGAAAGCAGTATAGGCCCCAAATACTGCTGTGTAGGAGAACTGAAACACTGTTGCAAACCAGAACAACAAGACATTATTTTCTTCCTACAGCTGTGTGATGCAGCCACAGTGGATGCAGTCTACTCTGTGAAAGGATGACACATCATTAAACACATCAGTTCTTACCTGCAGAGAGGAAGATCCCTGACAGCGTCCCCTGTCTGAACCTCAGCAACTCGATCACATGATGAAAGTGAGCTAAAAGAGAGGCCAACGCAATTTGGAAACACAAACAAAATTGAAAAATTTTAAATATTTGTTTATATCATAAGGCACATAGTAGTAGAGTTGTGGCTGCTTTATCATGAAGTAAATAGAATGCATCTTTCTCATCAGTTTCTCAACATCCCTTTCCTGTTATCAAAATAGCCAAACTAATTGTCTGAAAGCATCTTGAACAGGCTATACAATGATATACACATTTAGCTAACTGTTCAGTGAAGTAAACAGTTTTTCATGCTTTTTCAGCCAGTCACAGTTTTCCATTAATTTCCATGTAGAATACAAACACATCATCTTGAAATTAGTATCTTGAAAAATAACAGTGCACATAAAATCAGTTGTATTCAATTGTATTCATGTTGCACCAAATCATACATCACCACAGAGCACTTTAAAGAGTCGAGTCAAGACAGGAATAAACCTCCAACAAAACCAGACTGAAGGAGGGCAACCAACTGGGGTGAGAGAGGAGCTGCTAAAATTGGAACTCACCTACTCCAAAAAAAAGGGGGCACGTGAAAATGGCAGTGGAAGGGCCAGCACAGGGTACCAACATGGGCAGCATGCAGGCCCGGAACACCAGCTCCTCTGTTAGCGGTGCCACCACCTGATTCCTCAACCATCGCATGTCACTGAGACACAACATCCAGAACCACGGATCTGCAGGAGGACACACACACAGGGAGGTTATGTCCTGTTTGGTTGTTGACATGTTTTATGCTGAAATACATTCCTTTCTAGAGAAGATTTCTGACTTAAGCATGAGATAGACGTTAAGTTACAGAGAACACCTCCTAACTGTTAACCTGTTAAAGTTAAAATGGGTCCAGAGCAACAAGTTGCACCCATACTTTGATCAAATTTGAAACAACTCTGACATCCTTGTTGTTGTTTTATTTCTTTTTAATGACTGGCTTGCTCACCAAAGGCCACTCGCATCCCATCTGTGAAGCTCCAGGGACAGTCCATGGCCAACTGCATGAGGGGGCCCAAAAACAGGACCTGCAGCACAGACCCACACACAAACACAGTTTCTAAGTTTAGACAGAAACTGGGAATTGATCTGGGGCTATTTGGGACATTAAGCAGCCACTATGGAAGGAACACTTTGTTACATATTCCATGTTGCCTTCCAATGCTCCACCCACCATCGTTCCCTGGAAGGTTTAACTCACTCAACCCTGTGATAATAATGAATACAGACTCATCTCAATCACAGTCTGAGATTAATCCCAGTTAGAGAGTAGCTGCAATAACAGAGTGTATCCATGGAGACCAGCATGATTGTTACAGATTGTTATTGCAGTGGATCACGCCCACAGTGAAACATGCTACTGGGAAAAGCCTGACCAAGGAGAAGTAGCACTCTGTTTTTTAGAAAAATGCTCAAACCTCTGGTTTGCACTGTTGTGGAGAAAGATTCATACTGCAGCAGGATAATGAGCCCAAAGACACCTCAAAGCTTTGACTTGAAGAAATGTAGTTTATTCCCTAGCGATCTCAGACTTGTAGATCCTGCGGTACATGGCAGACATCTTAGAAAATAAAACTTCTGATCAATTCTTTACTTTTTCACAACCCTCCTTTTGAGCTATTGCATGTACATGGTCATAAACTATCTCCTTTAAGCGACCGAACTGTGTGCAACACTGGCAAAAATAGTGAAGGGACGGCCCTTTCGGGGTTTTTTTCAGCTAAATTCATAAAGCATTGAAAGGCTGACACACCTCTTATTAGCAGCATCCACACAGCACACGAGTTTGACATAAGCTGACGGACGTGCTTCAAGCCAAGCTCCCACTACAGAAATTTTACATCCATTTAACCTTTTTTCACCACCCTGAAAAATCAGACTAGAAATCTGGTCTGGGATCTCAATCTGAACTGATGTTTGGCCAAGATTGTTTAATATAATTTTTAGATACATGTTATCCTCCTGAACTGCTTGCAGACTTATCAGCATAAGAGCATTGCAATTATTATGAGATTTATTGGCATAGTTAGAGTTATCATAAGTGCAGTGGACACTGTTGCCAAGTAATTGTAAAAATTCTCACCCTTATGGCTCATAATAAAACTAGATAAAAAGATCACCGCCAGTTCTTGCTGAAGACTAAACAAACCATGTTGACCACATCTTTCAAACAATGTGCCCATTCTAAATAGATTACCCTTCTGCTTTAGCTTTTTAGTTCGTTCTTCTGTTTTTATTTTGTTAGTCCCCAAAAATAACCTGTAGTGTGTGATGCACCATTATTTTCAAATCTTGTAGTGTGTGTATCTCTTTGAAGTTTTTCCTTATGTGCATGATGTAACCTGAGTTCAAAATCTGTTAGGATTTCAATACGAGTGCAAGTTCGGCAGCAGTTGTGGAAATTTGCAACTGCAGAACTATTACAAATTGAAGAAGGTCGTTCTAAAAATTCTGGAGTGCATATGTGTACAGCATCAGTCAAAAGTTTGGACCCACCTACTCATTGAATGTTTTTTCTAGATTTGTACTACTTTCCGCATTGTACAGCATAAAGAGGAATTAATAACACTCACACATAAATACCATGGAATTATATAGTGAGGAAACACGTGTCAAAGCAAAATATTTTTCAGCTTTGGCTCAGGTGGTAGAGTGGGTTGTCCTCTGATGACAAGGTTGCCAGTTTAATCCCCAGCCCTTCCACATGCCGAAGTGTCCTTGGGCAAGACACTGAATCGCAAGTTGCTTCTGATGGCAGGCAGGCACCTTGCATGGCAGCTCAGTCGCCATTGGTGTGTGAATAGGGGAATATTGTAAAGTGCTTTGAGTACCACTAAGTATAGACTGTTTACCCTTTATTTTGGAATCCTCTAACTCGCCACGGTTTGCCTTGATGACAGTTTTGCTGTTTTAAGCTTCACAAGTTTATAACCTGAAACTAATTCTCATTACCATGTAAACCTCGTCAAAAGTTAAGTGGCAGAATTTTTCGCCTTCTTAATACATTTGAGATTATCAGTTGTGTGGTAGAGTTGCTATATAGCAAACAGCCAGGAGAAGTTCATTAAACTTAATTAACAATGAATGCCATGTCTTTGAGAGACACAGAAAAGGTGAATTTAGAGCAACACTTAACCAGCATGACCACAGCAACATTCTACCGCAACACATCATCCCATCTTGTTTGAGCCTTGTGGTATTAGGATTAGTTTTTTGGTAGGACAATGAGTCAGAACATGCCTCCAGGCACTGTAAGGGCTGTTTTAACCGGTGCTGCATCACATGACCTGACCTTCACAACCACTCGCCTAAAACCAGCTGAGATGGTTATAAGATACGTTGAAGGGTAGAGTGAAGGGGGAAAAAAAACTTTAACACTCTCACGCTACCTCTAAAATGCACATTCACACGTATGTTTAGCATATGAAATATGCACAGATATTGTGTAAAGATCCAAGAAGGATGTTACCCGTTTCTTTGAAGTTCCTAAAGGAAGAGTTTAAAAGGATGCAGCAGGTTGTTAAATACATTCTGTCCATACATATACAAATATATGATTATGTATAAACATAATGAAGGTAGGTGTGTTTCTTACCATAGTTAACAGCAGTGGAAGTACAATGGCAGGAATGAGGCCTTCAAACCGTATCCCCATGAGAGCAAGCAGTGATGGGCCAGTCTGGAACACACACGCACAATACAGTAAAGTCAAATGGCAGGATAATGTGACACACCAGCACAAATACACTGAAATTATCTCATTTAATCCTGAGGTTTTGGAGCAGAATGGAGAGAGAGAGAGAGAGAGTGGCAGGATAATGTGACACACCAGCACAAATACACTGAAATTATCTCATTTAATCCTGAGGTTTTGGAGCAGAATGGAGAGAGAGAGAGAGAGAGCAGTCAGTGACTTCTGAGACATGAACTCACCCTGACACCAGTGAATTCTCTCCATGCCCACACAAAGAGAGGCGACAGACCCGACACAATTAGCACGCTGGTGAAGCGTCTCTTTATGACAGCAGGGTGGTCCCTGAGGATGAAGAACAGGGGATAATGAACACAGCGTCATCACTAGCACACAAGTCAAATTGACATGACCAGCTGGGTAGTAGCCACTTACAGCAGGTAGGTACTTAACCAGTCTTGACACTCTGCTGTACTGTGCAAAATGTTACACCAAACTCCATTCAAAAATCTCACCGTTATAGTTTTTCTTTTATACCTACTTCCAATCCACTGACCAGTTCTTGAACATGACTATTTCTTGGCATGGACCAGTAACTTCCTGAAGTCTTTGCTGGTTGCCTGGCAACTGCTCCCAGTCAAGCAATACTCTGGCATATCACTTCCATAAACCTACCTGTCATTTGTAGACATCGGCTTTAGCTTTCATACTACAGTTTGGCAAGATAGAACTATGTAATTTTCTTCTAATTGTTGGGGGAAATGTGGAAAGTGTTTCTTGGTACATTGCCAAGAAAAGCAAACATGTTACTAACATATATAACAATGGTTCTGTTCTATTTAACAGTGTGACAGTAAACCAGCGTGGACAATACAAGGTAGCCGCATCACCTAAAATAAGGAACACCTCTGCTAACATCAGAAGAAATTATTTGTGAAATATATTTGACCAACAAAAGTCAAAGGAAAAAAAAAGTGCCACATAAACAGAAAACCCACAGCACTGAGCATTGTCCCAGGACACTATTGATTGAAAAATTGATTGCGACGTATGGTTCCTCACAGTTATTAACCAACAAAGTCACAACAATACCAAGTAACCACAGACCAATCTCCAACCTCCCCTTTCTGTCTAAAATACTGGAAGTACTGTTGCATCACAACTCAAAGCCCAACCTCTATAATCTATCTATTATATCTATATCTTTCTAGTATAGATTCTGCTCTAACCACAGAACCAAAACAGCCGTCCTCAAAGTCAACGACCTTCTTCTCTCCTCTGACGCTGGAAACTTAAACATCTTCCTCAACCTCAACACTCCCTTCGACACAATCAACCATCCCATCCTTCTAACCCGCATCCAATCTCCCAGAAAACTGCAACAAATCAGAAATCATCATAATCGGTCCCAAATCACTCACCAAATCCACATCAGAAATCAGATCAGATCGAATCAGATCATTTTTGACCAAACCCTTTCTTTTGACCAACATACCAATCACAGCCTCTTTCACCTCAAAAACACTGCCTGCCTCCTTCCATCCCTGCCCTTTTAGCTGTAGAAACTCTCCCCCACGCATTCATCATATCCAGACTCAACTACTGCAACAGTCTTCTCTACGGGACATCATCCAAAATACTCAAGAAACTTAAATACAACCAGAATTCTGCTGCCCGCCTGCTCACCCACTTCCACAATCGTGATCACATTACCCCCATCCTTCAGAACCTCCACTGGCTCCATGTCCTCCAGCAAATCCACTTTAAAATCATCTTTATCTCCTACAAAGCTCTTCATAATCTGGCTCCCCTATACCTGGCTGAACTTCTCCACTGGCACATTCCCACCCAAAAATTCCTGGGGGAAACAATGCATAACTTAATAAACTTTAGTTTAAATTCTGCTGAAAAAGTGCATGCCCCTAAATACAGTAAGTCAGTTTACCTAACTAACTGAATCTTAGGTGACAGGTCTGGATGTTGCTCTCTTGGGGTATATGGCTGCACTCAACCAAATATGAGCCATCCTGGATAATCAGTACAAGAAAGCTGGGTATCAGCTGGCTCTGTTAAGTCTGGTTTACCTCCAGATATGAGTGCAATTCTGTCAAAGAGGCGGAGTTGTTCACTAACAACAACACTGTCAGAGCTATGAATAAATTACTTAACTGAAGTTGAGTTGAAACAGCAAGAAATGCTGGTAAATTTGTCTATACTGATGCTAAAAAAAATGATATTCCACTAGGTAAATGTAAACAACATGGTCACATAACTAAAACAGTATAAGGCTCTCTAGACATATGTGCTAAATATTAAAGTAAGGATATATAGGTAAATCTGGATACAGCAAGATTTTATATAATAAGTCTTAAGCATCATGTGAGTATAGAAATATCTGCTGATCCTTGTCATAATTTTGTAAAGTCTTGTGCCCCCTCCAGGATCATGTAGGAATCATAGACTGTACAAAAAGACTGAGGACATTAATGTCAAAACATCTTGATCGCAAGATGGTCACAGTGTTAGTCATACATTTCAAATACATCAATCTATCTATGAGCTATAGCTATACCCCCTTTACCCAGTTGAGGGTCACAGGGGGCTGGACTATATACCACTGGTCACCAATACTCAACATCTTCAAATAGACAGCCGAAGCTGACCCCCAGGTTCAAACCAACTTGCTGCGAGGTAACAGTGAAAATCACTGCAACACTGTGCCACCTATCTCTAACAAAAACAATTTCCATGTTGGGTTTCTGTCATATTAAGGCTTTTTTTTATCACTTTGATGTTTGTTTAAGTGTTCAGTTTTGTAATCAACAGAAAGAATACACATTGCTTCTAGTAGGTAGCACAAGTGTGAATGCTTATGTGGATTCATTTGTAAGGTCTATACCTTACTATGTTAAGCGCTATATGATGACACAAACTGCACTATGCATATAGATATTATTAGAGTGAAGTCATGCAACAAACAAATAGGCACAATGCTGAAAATGATAATCAACAAAGTGAAAGTGGAGCCATAGACCTGAATCCTAATTCAGTAATAAGCATGTCTACTACTTCTACTGCATAGTGTGACACATCTGTGACACATAGAGTCAATGAGGTTTTAAATGTTGACTTGAAATATTGTCCCACTCTTCCTGAAGTGGTTCTGGAAGTTGGCTGACATTTTGGGGGGCACAATCACACTGTCAGACAAGTCTATTTGGAGCGGTCTGCAACGATTTATTAAGCAACAAAGGGTGAAGTTGTGGACATTCATGAATGAATGAATGAAATGAAATGAAAAATACTTTATTTATCCCAGAAGGGAAATTCAATCCAATTCAGGTTCCCTTTATGGTCCTGACTGACATGCCAGCATCCAGCATGCCAATTCTTGGATTTTTTTTTTTTTTTTTGTCATCTGTGACATTGTGCCATTTTTTTTTAGGTGGCCTTTAAGAGTCACTGGTCAAATTTAAGGCCTGGGGTCCCATGACAAGTTCATCCAGTCTAGGCTCCAGCACCAAGTCAGGAGTCTGTTAACAGTCAGTACCTCATCACTGGCCACACTGTGGTGCTGTTAGTGTCACTGTCAAATACTGTTTAATGAGCACAGGATCAAAGAAGGCTGTGTGCCTGCAATCAGTTCTATCACGGACACATATAATAATATATATATAATATTTATGAGTGTTAAAGCCCATTGTGTGCCCAGCAACAAACTTGTAGATCGGCAAAAAATGTAGAGTGGAGCGAGAGTTACCGATGTTTACAGTACAAAAAGAAATCATGGTACTCAGCGAAGCCGTATGTAGTTGTGTTTGGCTCACCTCGGCAGGTCACTCCTCCACACGTATAAACTGCCAACATAAGAACAAGCCAGCAGCAGACAGGACAGAACTGACACCCAGCATAACCCATCAGGAGCCACGAAGTCGCCATTGCTGTGTTTCATCTCCTCTGTCAGAAGGTTTGGTGAGAAATCCTCGTCCTCCGCCATAACGACTGCCGGTTGAGACTAAACCAAACAACTGTTGGGCACCGGGAGGGCTGGTGTACCATCTAAAGAGATAACAAATTCGCCGACATGAGGGGTGAAGTTTTCAGTAATCTCCTTTCAAATCGAAAGCTAATGTGGCTAGCTGGAGAGCTAGTTTCTCTGGCGCTTTCTAACTGCGTCATCATATGTTTCTTCTTCTGTTTCGACTTTGTTGCTGCACCGCCGCCTTGTGGCGGCTTCTATAGCACCTCGTCACTCTTCCGTCTCCATGACTTTGACCTTGCAAGTTTACATATTAAGGTTCAGAAACTGTCGCGTTATCGTGTAAATCTTCCTGAGTAACAGGTAAATTGACATTTATGTTATGTAATAGATTACTGCGGGTGGCATAGCACTACCTGCACATAAGCCACAAGTGAGAAAGCAAACAATGGTAGAACATGATGCCTACTTTGTGGTGGCTCAGGATGTATAGTGAGTTGTCCCCTAATCTTAAGCTTGCATGTTCACTTCCAGAGGCCTACTGTACATGATCGTAACAGTACAACCTCTAGTAACTACAAGCAAGCAGTGGCCTTTCAAAATATTGCCCAGTCTTGTTGCTTATGCATAGGCTTCTTTTTATTCTCCAGTTTCTGTCATGATTTTCATTCGTAACGTGTCCCAAAGCTTTGAGAAAATCTAACCACAAAGTGAATCAAAATCTAGTGTTCCACAGTGAATAATGTACTATGATTTTTGGTAGCAATTTGGTAGCATGAAAAACTGTGATTAATTTCATCATTGAAATTTATGACAAACCAGGCCAACAAGTGAAAAAAACACTCATCTTTTCAGCCATATTGTTATGGAATACTTTACTGCAGAACCTTCATTCAAAGTTTAAATGAGGGTTTGGTGCTTTATTTGACCACGTTCTGTTTTGCTGCATAACTTCACTGCGAATGTATCATGAGTTGATTTGAGCCCCCAGCTGAGCGCTGCTGTGTTGGAGAAGGAGAGGGTTGCCTATCTGCGACTATTGGTTGTGGAGGGGAAGACTGACTGTTCAGGGTGCCCTCGAAGGGGTTCTGCCAAGGGACTCCACAGGGCCTTCAACACTTACATGACCAAAGGTTGATGATCATCTTTACGGTCATATCATCAGACCTTACAAAGTTTCCATAGTTTCTCTGATTATTTTGAAAATTGTTGTAGCTTGTTGGGCAGGATGAGAACCCAAGTGCAAGAACACAGGCAAGGCTGGATTTACCAGAGTAGCTCATTTGCACACTAGATAATACAAGGTAGTACTCAGAGTCTATGGAGGACAGGAGCTAACCGAAAAGGTTAAGCAGAGCCAGGGCTGGCAGGAGAACTTAGCTGTGGCAGGAGACAGGAGTAGACAGGGAACTCAGTTGGGGGCACGAGAGTTTAGCAGAGCTAGACAACCAGGAGCAAGCAGAGGATCTACAAAAATTGGGTTTTGCAGAGGAGGGCCTGGCAGTGAGGGAATCCAGCGACAATTTCAGACAGCATGGGAGACAAAGGCTGGAGGCAGGTAAAGCAAAGAGGAATTCGTCTGGTTTTCACAGAAAAGGTGAAGAATTTACAGATGGGCTTTAACTGCCTTAACACACCTAGTCACACTTGAGACAAAAAGAGAGAGAGAAAAGATGTGAGGGAATGAGGCTGCCAGCTGAGCGGAAGCTGAGCTTATGATTGTTTTGTTTATATAGTTTATCCAGTTAATTCACAATATAATGTACTTCATAATGTCTTGTGTCTTTTTTTAATATTAAACATTTTGGATTTGCATACCATTCAGCCAACAACAGAGTGAATTTATTATATACAAAGATTTAATGTTGATATGGTTAATAATTGTGAACATCTGTAAACATACCTCTCCTGGGTACTCCATGAACAATTGGATTTTTAGTCAGTGTGGCGGACACCAATTTCTGTGATTGTGTAATTGTAGATTACAGATGAAAAACCCTCTAACCTGTTAATTAATGTTGATTTATTCTAAAACTCTCAGCTCTTGTATTAGCACCATTTTTGTTGTGGAATACATGTTTTTATGTTTCTTTTTTTCTCTCTCTCTCATTTGATTTTTATTAAAACTTACTTGCCAAGTTTTGGTAACCATGAATTGAGGCACAATTATTTCCATGTTTTTATGGATGAATAAAGTGATCCTTGATCATTAAACTTCACCAACCTTATGTCAATGCATTTCATATTAAACACTGGTGTTGTGGAGATGATTTGTGGAATTGCAAGCGTTCAGGTTTCAGTTCATTCTGAGCACCTAGGATTGAAAACTACGACTGAAAATTAATTGTTGTCTTTGGAAACAGTGCAGCATTCTGCCTAATACTTATCAATTTTAATTTTAGTCTTTTAGCAAATTTCTGCTTAATCTGCATTGTGCTAAAATGTTAAAACTTTGTATGTACAATAAATGACTAAAAGAATTCGTTAATCAAATTGCTCTTAGCTCCATCTGAAGGCATCATGTTACTATTGTCACTCCCTGGTGTGGTGAACTCCATATCTTCTTGTAAGGAATGATGAAGCACAATTTAAAGATTGACAATGTCGAAACCCACTCGTCCTGATATAGCAGGTAAAGGGTTTGCCTGCTTTGTCCACTAGCAGCAACTTTCTGAAACAGATGATCTGACATTCACACTGACTTCACACAGTGATTGGCTAGCTGGGTGGTGTTGAGAGAAGAGACGCGTTGTACTTGTTTTTCTAGCTCTCTTTTCTCATTTATTTCTCAGCTATTTGTGTCCAGCTAATGCAACACTATGAATGCCTGCTGGACAAATTGTCTGAAAATATGTGGCCTTATCCCTGGAGACTAAATGTTGCCTATATTGGCCACCTTATAGCAAGCCCTTTCAGAAGCATTGGAAACACATTTTATTTCTGAAATGGCAGCTAGAGACCACAACCCAGCCTAACTTATATGACATTGTGGAGGTATTGTTGTGCTGAGCCCAGTGTCTACTTGTAGGGAGTGATAAAATCAGAGGCTCTATACCAAATATCAGTGCTGCACATATTCACACATTCTATGTTCACATAATTCAATTTGTATACAAACCTAAGAGCCTAAAATATAAGGCCGAAGTGCAGAGAAACGAAATGCCGTTTTGAAAAGTAGTAAAATATCTATAATGTGTGGAAATAATATCACACAAATGTACAACACACCTGCCAACAGTCTCAGTAACGTGTTCAAATGTTCTCTAAAATGAAGGTTTGTAGCATCTTTCAAATAATTCTGATACAAAGGTTTTGTTTGTAAAAGACTAAACTGTGACCACCAGAGGGCGCCAGAGTTATGGAGGTTTAAATTGTACAGGGACTAGTGGCTTCCATTGTATGAGCTATGTACTAGCTATTAGTACTTGACATATAAGTGTGCCACAACCGGAAATTTCTATTGTACATTATATGCAAGGTTCAGATTTTGAGTGTACGATGGAAGCTTTTACAATATTTCTGATTCTACATGTAAACGTCATAAGGACTATTACAAATGTGTTCAAGTCAAGTCACGTCACTTTAATTTCTATAGCACATTTAAAAACAATGTCAGTTTATCTAGAGTCCTCCACACAAGTCAGTGTGCAGCCCAGTATTCGCAACCACACAGACAGTTTAGGTGGCAATAACACAAGAGAGCAACGGTGTGCAGGCTCAGCAAAACTATGTATGCGTGAAATACATAGATATGACCTACTGCACAGACACTTTCAAGTAGCTGTCTGCAGACTACAAAATTAATGTTAACGACAACAACTATGGATCCGTGTGTGTCCACAGCTGATTCACACAAGTAAATTCAAGAGTTCTCCTGGCTAATCCAGAAATGGGCTTAGAGGTCAAGGCGTGAGTAGAGTTGTGGTGGACCATGCAAACATCTCTGGGCCAGGAACTGTCCTGTGACAGTTGAAATCAGAACAAAAATGACAGAGCTGCTGTCTGCCTGAATACAAAACAAAGTAGCAAGCAACTAGGGAAGCCAGTAAATAGTGAAATAATTTCTACAGTTTGGAAGACAGTTTATTAGACATATTAACTGACTAATAATAGAATTTGGACTGAAGTATTTGATAGTGTAAGCCAACCAGTCACGTCGAAGATTGTCAAGTTTGGGGTCCAATCTATCGTCAGGACTACACCAGGTGGGACAAGCATCCCATCCTGCATGCAGAGTTCTGCAGACCCATATTAAACATCTGCAAAAAAAACACCAACTAATATAGAATTCGGTCCATACCCGCTTATTATTACCATTTTAAAAAGAACACTCTAAAATTTAGCCCCTAAAATACACCAAGAGCTGAGAGACCCAAAAAGTCCCTTTCATCAGGTGGAGCTGAGACTCTCTGTTCAGGTAAAGCCCAAAACTGATCAACCTCAGACCAACACTGCTCTCCAATCACTCATCAGAATGAGCCAAATTATTACATTAATTATTACATGCTGGAATCAAATCAAAACACAGAACAAACTGTGTAGCTATCTGGCCCTAAGCAATGGATGTAAATCAGCAAAATTTCTCTTTCCTGTCAAAGACAATAAAAGACAGATTTTGACCAAATACAGACTCAGTGACCACAGGGTTACCACAGAAAACAGATGACACAAGTCGTGGCTACCAACAGAGGAAAGGGCCTGTGGACACTGCATGGCAGGGGAGATGTGACAAATACATTAATATTATGAGAGAGGAACATTTAAAGAAATCTGACTTATTTCATAACTTTACAGAACTAGACAACAATGAAAAGCAACAGATTGTTGACAAAAAGGACAGACAGCCTCCCTAGCTTCACATAATTCAAACGTCACTGAATCTGACAGTTATCTTGGCATAGTCTGTTATACATATGGTACACATGGGGGTGTGCAAACCACATTCTTCTCTTTTGCCGTTCTCTTGTACTTTTTGTCCTCCTATCCGTTATTAATTCTGCTTAATAAATTGCATGGTGTTGTCTCTTTTTTTAAAATCGTTTTTTGAATTGCACCATCCTGGTGGTGCATTAGACGCAGCCCTAATTAGACCGATTAGGTTCTTGAATGCATCATAAGGGAAAGGCGAATTTACCAGGACCATTTGAAG